CTGGGGATTGAACTCAGGTCCTTGCACTTGCCAGGGAAGCGCTTATTCCACTGAGCCATCTCCCGGCCCCTGAAGTGTTTCTTTTTAATAATGCTGAGAAATACAAGAGAAACACAAGTACAACAAATTGAGGTTTTGTTTTTAGTGTGAAGTGTGTTCCGATTTTTTATTAAAATCTAGCCACATACATCAAGGCTTACTCAGCGTGTGGAGCATCCAGACTCTCGTTGCTTGTCTTAGATAAAACTGAGAGGAAAAGACTTTCCGTGTTAAAATTGATTAAGGCTGGCTGCCTGTCTGTGAATGTGATGGTGGCACCTGTTAACCAGCTTGCAACCTCAAGGCAGCAAGGTGGAGGCAAAGATGTCTAGAAAGTGAGAGACTTAGAGCTGGAACCTTCTATGAAGCCAGACGGAAACACTTTTGTGGATACTAAGTCAGGCATATTGTCACTTTGTGCGTAACCCATCCTGCTTTCAGAAAGGCAGATATACTTCTGGGTGTAGATACTGAATGTTGCTGAAGTACCTCCAATTTTCCATAAGAGAAAGATAAATTGCACATCCATGACTCAGAATCCTGCCTTTCCTGTGTTTGTGCTCCTGCTTTGATATAGCTACCTAGCCATTTTTCTAGCCTTTCTGATGGAGAAGCCTTATGTCATCATCTAGGGATGCAGCTCAATGGTAGAGGACTTGGCCTATGATGTGGGAGACCCTGGATTCCATCCCTTGTATCACCCAAACAAAAATGATGTGGTGACACATACCTATAATCTAAGCACTCCAAGAGGCTGAGATAGGAGGGTTGCAAGTTCAAGCCCAGATTGGGCAGTTTAACAACTTAATTGAGACCCATCCTGTCTCAATAGATAGAAAAGGAAGGAAGGACGGACGGACGGATGAACTGGGGATATAATTCAGGTGTAGCCTTGGGTTCAGTCTCTAGTATCCACAGCCCCCCACTAGAAAACGAAAAAAGCCAAGTGAAATCAAAAAACCAGAAATTCATAAAAGAGACCAGGCATGGTGAGCATGGCTGCAATCCCAGCATTTGGGGCTGAAGCAGGACAATTGTGGTAAGTTTGAGGCCAGCCTGGGCTTCATAGTAAGTTTAAGGCTGGCCTGAACTACATAGTGAGACCTTGTCTCAAAAAACAAGCAAATGAACAAACAGAATATTCACAAAAGTTGTGAATTTTGCTCATTTATTAACCTCTATATTCTAAACGCATTTCTACCAACATGAGGCTACGTGATTTTCAAGAAGATGGAGATTGATAAATTTCAAACCACTTTGTATTTTAGAGATGACTAAAATCAGAAATACTTTTAGATTACTATAATCTTATTTTTTCCCCTATATTTCCTGTTTTTCTTTTTTTTTTTTTTTTCTTTTTTTTTGGATGATGGTTTGGGACAGGGTCTAGCTGCCATACCCAGCAATTTTTCCCTGTTATCAAATGGTTTATATATTTTATTGAAATAGTATTTTTAAAGTAACAGATTTACACTAAGTGGGTGTGTTTTACTGGTGATTGATCCAGGTCTTCACACTCAGTTATATACCCAGCCTCATGTTAAGTAAGATAAGGTCTTGTTAAATCAGTATTTTGGGAGCCGGGGAGATGGCTCAGTGGAATAAGCACTTCTCTGGCAAGTGCAACGGCTTGAGTTCAATCCCCGGTTCTGGGAAAAAGAAAAAAAAAAAAAATCAATATTTTGGGTTCAAACTGGGTTCAAACTGATGATCCTTTTGTCTTAGCCTCCCAGAGTGCTGGGATTACAGGCACGTGCCACCATACCTTGCAAAATTTATTTTATTTTATTTTTTTGGATAGAAGATTGTTCATCTCAAAATGATTAAGAAGACTGCGTATTTTCCTCTATCCAACTTTTTTTTTTTTTTTTTTTTTTTTTTCTTTTTTTTTTTTTTTTGAGATGGTGTTTTTCTATGTTACCTGGGCTAGCATAACTTCTGGGTTCAGGTGATCTTCCTACTTCCCAGCAACGGTTTTATTGCATTTCCTGTTGCTGTTTTTTTTTTTTTTTTTTCCTGGAAGAATATAATATTAGAGATAGAAGTCATGTAGTCCAGTGAAAAAATTGAGGGTCACAAAAGTAAAGAAAGTGTTCCAAGGTTATATACCTTATAGCCGGGTTGTATACCACAAGCCAGGTTTCATGAGTACAAGTCCAGTGTGCTTTAGAGTTAGCTAGTAGTACTGTCTGCCTCGGACTATCTGCCTTTTCTTTTTTTATTTGAAGATAATTGTAGACTCATGTGCAACTGTAGGTAGTAACACAAAAGCTGGGCTGTAGCTCCATATAGAACACTCGCCTTGTACACTCATGGTCCTAGGTTTTGATCCCTAGCACCATCAAAAGAAAGGGAGAGGAGAGAGGGGGAAAGAAAACAGAGGTCCCCTGTACTTTCTAAGGTTTCCCTCAATATTAACATGCTATGAAACTACAGTGTAGTATGGTATAACAGTGTTGTACTGTATGATATTAATAGATTCATCTCAAAATACAGAACATTTCCTTCCCTATAGGAATCCCACCATATGCCTTTATAGCCACACCTACTTCTGTCCTCTTTCCCTTCCTTAATCCCCTGGCAGTTGGTAGTTCTTCATGTCTATAATTTTGCCATTTTGAGAATGATACACAGTTTGGTGAGGTAGCTCAGCAGACTAAAGCATCTGCTTAGGCAAGTACAGGGACTATAGTTTGATCCCCGACCCTACATGCTGTGCCAGCCCTGCCCCCAGGGTGGAATAAACTGGCCAGACACACACACACACACACACACACACACACACACACAAAATGAAATAAAAATAAAAATCAAGAATGATATACAGTGAAAAAAAAAAAAGAATGATATACAGTGGAAAAACTGTGCAACGTTTTGGGATTGGCTTTTTTTTCCATCCAGCCTATTCTATAGATTGATCCAGGTTACCGTGTTTGTTAGTAGTTTGTTCTTTTTCATTGCTGAGTAGTATCCTGTGGTCTGGAAATGTCTTAGTTTGTTTACCCATTTACCTGTTGAAGGTTATTTGGGTTGTTTCCAGCTTTTGGGTACTATAAGACTGGGTATAAGCAACCCTTTACATACTTGTATGTGGACATAAATCTTCTGAGATAAATGCCATAGAGTACAGTTGCAGGTCATATGATGTTTAGTTTCCAAGGACTATGAGAACTGGTTCTGCTATAGGACTGGCCATATAGCTCAGCAGATTATATCGCCTACAAGAGGTTGCAGGGGTAGGGGGTTTGATCCCTGGACCTGCCGTGCCTGTCCCGCACCTGGGGTGCACTGAAACGGCAATTGAGACTTGGAGTGCTGGCACACACCTGTAATCCCAGCTCTCGGGAGGCTGTAAACAGGCGGATAACCATGAGTCCGATCTAGTAGTGAGACCCTGAACACCCTGTAGACCCTTCCCTAAAATTTAAAAAAAAAAAAAAAAAAACAAAAAAAAACTGGTTCTGAGAGTAACTCTCATTTCATATTCTGTCTTTATTCTTTTATCTTAATTTATGCTCCTTGATTTTGAACAATCTTAAATTCTGATACTCAAAAATTAGTAGCCTTTGAAGAAAAATTTGGGGGAAAATAGGATTGAATTGCAGTAATTGGAATTATTTAACTAGCTATTAGTATTTAGTTTGACACAATAAAATCCATTAAAAGTCCCAAAGGTTTGATACACTGAAGTGTTTTATACACAGTGTCTATTTCTGTTATACTAAAAATAATAACTGATAGTGACTTTTGTTGTTGTCGCTGCTGGGATTAAATCTAGAGCCTTCTAGGCCAGGGAAGCATTATAATGTAAAGTACATGAATAGCCCTAATAATGAGTGTTTTTTTTGTGTGTGTGTGTGTCTGCGTGTGCACGTGCACGCGATACCAGGGATTGAACTCAGGACCTTATGCTTGCCAGGCAGGTGCTTAAGCTGCTGAACTGTATCCCTGGCCCCTTGAGTTTTTATAAAATAAAAATTAATCTCATAATATTTATGAATTATACTCTTCCGTTTTTTCAGTGCTTTTTGAGGATTGGTACCTACAGGTGGTAGGTACAGATGCTCCTTATGATAGCCTTGGCTGAGTATTGCTGGAACAACAGCAGACCCCACACCCCACAGCTCCAAGTCCTGGCACATCTGCCCAGGAAACCCAGACTTTGTTGCCACTGTATGGCATGGAAATCTTGAGTTGAAAGTCCTATTGAAAAGGGAGTTGGGAGATTACACATCTGTAATCCCAGCACTGGGGAGGTTGGGGCAGAAGGATCATTGCAAGTTCTAGACCAGCCTGGGCTACAAAGTGAGCTCAAGACCAGCCTGAAATGCATAGCAAGATCCCCTCTCAAAAAGACCAAAAAAAAAAAAAAAGAAAGAAAGAAAAGGGAGAGACATGAACCACTTATATATCCTCACACCAAGCCAAATATATGAATTAGAAATATCATTCTTTCAGTTGCTTTCCCTCCCCTTAAAAAAAAAAAATTCTGTATCTTTTTTCAGATCTTTCTGCTATTTAGTTACTGTTTGATCTTTTTCTCTGTCCTCTTTTTTTGTCTTAGTGTAGCAGTGTCTACCCAAACTCATGTCTCTCTTTCAAAGCTTTTCTTCCAGGGACATCTCTAGGAGATGTGTTATTGAAGTATCATAGGACCTTGTCTCTAGGTGACATTCAGTGGTGTGGCTGCATGTAGATTAGCATTTATGGATTCATATTTGCAAAACAATTATTGAGCACTTTTGGAATCATTCTATACCAGAAGACAGCACCTTGGTGCCGGCGAAATAGCTCAGTATTCTAAAGCACCTGCTTAGGCAAACTTGCAGGGACTGTGGTTTGGTCCCTGGGGCCACACCAGCTCCACCCCTAGGGTGGTGTGAGCTGGCCACAAAAAAAAAGACAGAATCTCAAGGCTGTTGCTTTCCCTCTCTCTGCCACATGTTTGTTTTTCATCTTAGGAGCTGCGTGGAGATTCTGACCAAATCCTTTTCCAATCCTGAGAAGGTTATCCGACCAGCCCTCATCTATAGTCTCTTCCCCAATGTTCCCCCTACCATCTATTTTGGTACTCGAGATGAGAGAGGTAAATGTGACCAAGTGACAAAGCCTAGAAGAGCCCCCAAGAGAAGGATGCTATGAAATTGGGAGGAGGTGGTCATAGGTGGGAAGGGCTTCCAGAAAGGCTGTTCTGATGGTTACCTCACCACCTAGTTCCCACTTAGTTATAGAAGCAGTATGGGATTTTTCCTTGGCTGTCCTTTAGCTATCCCTTTTCAGCTTCCTGTCCTCAGCCATTGCATATACCCTGTAGCCTTGTTTTTTCACATTTCTGTGGTCTCCCCTTTTTTTGCTCTCATTTTTGCACTGTCCCCTTCCCCAGAGTATGCTCCTCTGAAACCCTGATCTGGAACAATGTTTGGTGACTTAATAGGATGGGGACCATTGCCATCTTTCCATCCCCTTACTATGGCTCTCCTGTTCTCCACCCTGTCGCCTCCCACTCCCTGCCACTCCCCCTAGTGGAGAAACTTCCCTGGGAGCAGAGGAAGCTGCTCCGGTGGAAGATGAGCACAGTGACTCCCAACATTGTCAAGCAGACCATTGGACGGTCCCACTTCAAAATCAGCAAGAGTGAGTCACTTGCCTGGGAGCCTGTTATCTGGCCTGCCAGCTGGGCTTTGGGTAGGAGCTGAGCCCTAATCCTCTGCTGTATGGGCACTCCTGGGGACCTTGTCTTGGTTTCTAACTTCATAGGGGAGCATAGCACAGCCCCTTGGGCTGACCTTGTTGCTCACAGTTGAGAGACAGAAGGCCATTGTTCTGTCCCTGGCCTCAGGCCTCGTGTAGGGCAGCTCCATGGTAACTGTTCAAAACCAAGCCAGAGAGCTGTGCCCAGAACCAATGATATTTCTGGGGCCTATGGGACTCTCCTAGGAACTGAGCTGCTAGCGGGCTGACTCCTTGATTACTTTCTATAGGAAATGATGACTGGCTGGGCTGCTGGGGTCATCACATGAAGTCTTCTAGTTTCCGATCCATTCAAGAACATCAGAAGGTAGGGTCCTGCCCTAGGAGCCCATTCCCCTGGGTTTTGAACTAGATCAGGAGGCAGGTAGGACAGGGACAGTTGGGACGGGTATTGGAAGATGAAAGTGATTTCTTCTCACCAGGAAGTGAACAGGGTTTTAGAGGAGAAAGTCCCAGAGGAAGAATACTGTCAGATCCTAGTGGACCACATACATTTCCAGTTTTGCTATAGTGTCTTGGGCAGCTGCTGCGGTTGGGGGGGCGGGGGGGACTCTTGCCTGTAATACATCATGAGATGCATTAGCTGTTTTCAGTGGAATGTTTCCCCTCTAGCCTTTGGGCCTTACTGCTATTCCTCAAGGTAAATATGTATATTGAGGATGTCTGGTCTTGTGTTGGAACAAATGGAGTCCATTGTCCCCAAATGTAATAAAAGCCAGATAGATGCTTTTCTGTCCCCTGGGCTGTTGTGAAGGATTTAAAAACTTATTTGCACTCAAGGTGAATGTGCTTGTGTCTGTCTTCATCACAGTTTTGCTTTGTGTTTTAATCATCTTTTGGTGATTGCTCAGCAATTGGATACATAAGGGCCATCAGGTGGTGACAGTAAGATGGAATAGGAGCTTGCGCTGTTGCTAAGAAAGGCAGAATTGGCACAGCGGAACTTGTCATCTTTCTTTGGTCTTACCTCCCCTTCCCCCTGCCCTGACCTTTTGTCTCCCCTTCAATAGTTAAACCACTTCCCAGGCTCATTCCAAATTGGGAGGAAGGACCGGCTCTGGCGGAACCTGTCTCGGATGCAGAGCCGCTTTGGCAAGAAGGAGTTCAGTTTCTTCCCCCAGTCCTTCATCCTGCCTCAGGATGCCAAGCTCCTGCGCAAGGCTTGGGAGAGCAGCCGCCGCCAAAAGTGGATTGTGAAGCCAGTGAGTGGGTCATGGTGGGTAGTAGATGGTGGTCTGAGAAAGGGAACAATGAAGTGTTGGGCCCAAAGCAAATCTTGTGTCCTTTCTGCTCACCTGTAGCCAGCATCAGCTCGAGGCATTGGCATCCAGGTCATTCACAAGTGGAGTCAGCTCCCCAAGCACAGGCCCCTCCTGGTACAGAGGTGAGCCTGTCTCTAGTTCACCTCTCTCCATCTTCCCATCCTATTGGCCTCCAATGTCCTCTCTTAGAGCATTCTTCTGCTCCTTGTCCTCTCAGCCAAAGAGCTGCTTTAGTCAACTGAGAGTCATGGGATATTTTCAGTTAATGGTTTAGGGTCTTTATCTTAAAGACTATTAACTGGCTTTTGCTGATGCTGTTATTTCTGGTCCCATCTCATCTGATGCAAAGCTGGCCTTTCCTCTGCAGGTATCTACACAAACCCTACCTCATCAGTGGCAGCAAGTTTGATCTGCGGATCTATGTTTATGTCACTTCCTATGATCCTCTACGGATTTACCTCTTTTCAGATGGACTTGTCCGCTTTGCCAGTTGCAAGTATGTGATAGTGATGCGGCGTTACCTTGAGAGTTAGGAATTCATCTTCCACAGAGGGAAAATAGAGGCCTCTAAACCTTTAAAAATAAATATTCTGGTGGATTTTGTTAGCAAGGGGAATGGATAGAGGGAATAGGAAATAAGGATGTTCTCTACTTCACCAAATCTGTGGGACGGAGGTGAGACAAGAGATGGGCTTACTTGTGGTTTTGTAGAATCTTACCAACAGAGGTACTTCTCAGGTCTGAAAGGATCGGTACGCTTATTAATTGCCTCCCCAGGAGTTAGGGAAATGTTTGCCATTCTCCTCCTTCTCTCATCATTGTTCCTCTTCTCACTTCCAGGTATTCCCCTTCTATGAAGAGCCTTGGCAACAAGTTCATGCACCTGACTAACTACAGTATCAATAAAAAGAATACTGAGTACCAGGCCAATGCAGATGAGACAGCCTGCCAGGGCCACAAATGGTACTGAGGACAGTGTCCCAGGCATTGATGGCTTGGAGGACTGCTTTAGGTTTGGGTTTTGGAGGCTCAGAGGGGTAGTGCTAGAGGATTAATATCACCTCTGAAGATTACTTGTCAATCCAGAATTGGTCTATTTTTATCTCAGTTCATCTCTTAATTTAAAATGTCAAAGGAAGTAATATGAAGGAAAAATTGTTAGACCTCTTACTCCTGGTCTACTTCTTTATCACTCATTTCTAGAATATAATACCAAATACACTCCATCATTCTACCTTGCAGGGCACTGAAGGCTTTGTGGAAATACCTGAGTCAGAAGGGAATCAATAGTGACATCATCTGGGAGAAGATAAAAGATGTCGTTGTTAAAACCATCATCTCGTGAGTCCTGCTGCCTTGCTGGGTGGGGGAGTTCACCACCAAACTTCCTCTCCTGCTGCTGTGCTGTAGACTCTGGGTCATGTTCTGTTTCAGTTTTGAGGACAGGGAATAGGAGGGAGTAGATGGAGTGAAATTCTGCTTATTTCCTGAACGTCATTACAGAACTGGTCCCATATGAGACACATCTCTTTAAGAACCACTTTTCCCAGGTTGCTTCTACCTGTCTTTCTGGGGTACCCCATTGGCAGGGCAGTTCTGGGTAGGAATGTGAGAGAGTTGGACTAAATATATCCTTGTCCTTGTGACCAGGTCAGAGCCCTATGTGACCAGCTTGCTCAAGATGTATGTCCGACGACCCTACAGTTGCCATGAACTCTTTGGTTTTGATATCATGTTGGATGAGAACCTCAAGCCCTGGGTCCTAGAAGTAAACATTTCACCTAGGTGGGTGGTATTTTCAGTATATTTAGAGCAGAATCTTTGCTGTATCTTCAGGATCCCATTGACACTGTAGTTTTGTTGATTTGGGGGAATATCTTTTCTTTTCTAGAATTTGTATTTTAATGGTCTTCATTTGCTCATTTACCATTATCTGAACTTTCTTTGAAAATGGTGAGCGTTGTTTTTTTTTTTGTGTGTGTGTTTTTTTTTTTTTTTTGCGGAACCGGGGATTGAACTCAGGCCTTTATGCTTGCCAGGCAAACGCTTAATCTCCTGAGCTATCTCCCCAGCCCCAAGAGGTTGTTAAAGGTACTCTTTTATGTTGGTCCCTGTTGGCTTGCTTTCCTCTAGCAAACCAAGGTCATGGACAGGTTTACCAGCCTGAGCAAGGTCATTCTCTTTAGTACAAGAGACTCTCACATTTGGGTGTCGGAGCCCTTTTCGTTCTGGGAGAGCCAGAAAGTCAAGGGGCCAGGCCAGGGCCAGGCCCAACTTGAATATAGGACCAGAAACTACTTTGGAACTGCTTTGACTATGCTTTGTATGTTCTCCCTGAAGCCTCCACTCCAACTCTCCCCTGGACATCAGTATCAAAGGCCAGATGATCCGTGACCTTCTGAATCTGGCGGGGTTTGTTCTGCCCAACGCAGAGGACATCAGCTCCAGCCCCAGCACCTCCAGCAGTTCCCTTACCAGGTCAGCTCCTTGCCTGTTGACTTCTCTTCTGCTTGGTCTCCCTTGTGCTCCTTCTGGACCCGTTGTCTGTGCACATACCAGTGCCACAGCAATACCCCTACAAGCAAGGTTGACTCTTTTCCTCTGTTGCTCAGCAATCTCTACAGGGCTGGGTGTCAGATTTAAACTCTTGTCTGTGCATTTGAAGCTTCTGCCTTTCTTTCCTGAGTGCATCTTTCTCTGCTTCTCTTCTGGGCTGCTGTGCTGATAGAGCTGGTCACTCACAGAAGCAAGGCTGGAAGGATCCTTAAGGGCCAGTTAGTTCAGTCTCCTCTCAGAAAAGTTCATTGCTCCTTGCTTTTCCCCCATAGTGTTCTTTCCTCTGCTCCTGGGGGTGATTCTTCCTTCTGAAAGGGCCCTCACTCAGGCCTCCTGTTTATCATCAGAGCCTGGCTTCAGACCACATCTTCATGACACCAGCTCAGGATAGGCTTTTTCATTTCTGACACTTGGAACCACTCTTAAGAGGAATGGCTAAATTTAATAAATACCTGTCAAGTGTAGGGAACAACTCCATAGGATTAAGGCTACACAGTATGTATAGGTGAGGAAAGTGAAGATCCCTAGTGTTAAGTAACTCATCTAGCATCGTTTAGTTAGAGTGAAGAGTTACAGTTCTGATTTGCCTGGTAACAAAACTTACTTTTACTCCAGTATACCTTGTGGACTCATGTTCTGCTTTGTCCTATTGTTGTGTGACTTATTCTGCCTGCTGTACCATAGGTTTTGCAGAGGCAGGTGCTGCTCTTCTGTCATGTCTACATTTTCCAGCAGTGATTGTAGTAATGGATGATGAAACTGAGATACAGGAGTTTATTATTGGCCCGGGGTCACACGTGGATAGTAGAGCAGAGCTGAGGTATAGTGAGTGTTCACCAAATTAAACTAAACCAAGTCAATTTTTTTTTTTTTTTTTTTTTTTTTTACTTGGGGGGGGTTTTTTTTAATTTGTTATGAATATACAAAGACAACAAACTTTTAAAACATTGTTTTTTTTTTTTTTTTCAGGGCTTATTAATTTTTTTTTTTTTTTTTTTTTTTTGTCAAATTGGGGTGGGGTGGTTTTTTTTTTTTCCTTCCAGTACCAGGGATTGAACTCGGGATGGGACCTTGTGCCTGCCAGGCAGGCACTTGTGCTGCTGAGCTGTATCTCTGGCTCCTTCATTCTTCTTTATGGTACTGGTATTGGTTGACCCTCAGACAGGTTTCCTGAGTGGAATGCATTTCAGTGTGATCAAGTTCTAAACATTTTCTGGACAGCTTTATCTTCTCTTGAGAAAGGAGTCATTTTGGGCTGGACCCCTTGTCCTTATTTCCTCAAGATGCAAAGCTGCTGACTCAGTACCTTGCATTCTACATCTTACCCATAATTACCCTATAACTTCTACCGTAGCTCTCCCAGGGACAAATGTCAGATGGCTCCTGAGTATTTCACTGCACAGAAGATGAAGAAAGCCTATTACGTGGCCCAGAAAATTCCTGACCAGGTAGGAGATTGGTCTTTTCCTCAGCAAAAAATTTCTGAGCTCAACAATTTAGAACCCCAGAACTCTAGAGCAGGGCTTATTTTTTTAGCATGTAGCTAATCCTGATAGAGAACTGATGCTCTTTGTCATTTTCAAGAGCCACTGCCCTTAGCACAGTGCTCTAGTGGCCCTATGTTGTCAGAGCTGTAGGCCTTTATTCCTCGGAGTTCTTTCCCTGAAAGTGCAGGGTGATCTGGGATGCTTGGCTCAGAAGCAGATATGTGAGCCACATGTGAGAATGGCAGGCAGCCAAGCATGATAACACATGCCTGTAATCTCAGCATTCTGGGAGTTCGAGGCAGGAGGATCTTAAGTTTGAGTCCAGTCTAGTGATACTTCATTTCAGATTTTTTTTTAAGTTATTTTATTTTATTTTATTTTATTTTATTTTTTAATTTTTTTATTTATATTTATTTATTGTGTGTGTGTGTGTGTGTGTGTGTGTGTGTGGCCAGCTCAGCCCACCAGGGGGCGGGGCTGGCTGGCATGTGGTGCTGGGGGATCGAACCGCGGTCCCTGTGCTTTGCCAAGCTTGTTCCAAGTAGGTGCTTTAGACCACTGAGCCATCTCTCCAGCCCCTTTAAGTTATTTTAAAGGCTGGGGATATAATGCCCAGTGCAAAGCCCACTGCCACCCCCCCCAGGGGGTGGTGCTGGCAGGCAAAGGCTGGACTCTGACCTTCGATTTGTCTAACAGACCACTTAACCTTAGAGCCCCTAGGGTGCCCCTGATCACAATCAAGAGCTAAGCTCAGTGGTCTTAGGAACAGGTAGTGTATACAGCTTAGGAACTGATGGTACATACCAGGTGATATGGTGGTCCCATGAGAATCCTGGAGCTCTAGGACCCAGGACTCTGCTCCTTGTCCCTAATTTCTTGATTATCTGCCTATGACTCTGTCATACCTGCTTTTTTCCTATTGGTTGGCCCATAGGATTTCTATGCATCTGTGCTGGATGTCCTGACCCCAGATGATGTTAGGATTCTGGTGGAGCTGGAAGATGAGTTTTCTCGTCGTGGTCAATTTGAACGAATTTTTCCTTCTCGAATCTCTTCTCGCTATCTCCGCTTTTTTGAGCAGCCTCGATATTTTAACATTCTGACCACCCAATGGGAACAGAAGTACCATAGCAACAAGCTCAAAGGTGATGTGCTCTCCCAGTCTGCAGGAGGCTATATTTAGTGAGAAATTAAATCCCATTAGCCTAAGGAATGGGCCTCTGGAAGGAAAATGGGCCAATTAGTTCCTCCCTGTTAAGTCCTAACAGCTGCTCCTCTTGTCCTAGGAGTGGATCTGCTTCGGAGTTGGTGCTACAAAGGGTTCCACACAGGGGTCGTCTGTGACTCTGCTCCACTGGTGAGTGACACAGTTCAAGGAGTCAGTTTCTTCTCAGCCCTCTTTTGCCTTAAGATTACAGTGTGGCGGGGTGGTCTTTACAGAGCCTTTTACTTCCCCCGTAGGCCTTGCATCTGTTTCCTGACTTTCCTTTTGAGGCAGTGATTGCTGCCAAGATGGCCTGGTTGCCTTTCTTTCAAGGATCAAAAAGCAGGGCTGAGGATATAGCTCAGCAGCCCAGTGCCTGCCTGGCAAGGCTAAGAGTTCAATTCCTGATATTCCTCCCAAAATAAAAAAATGCTCTGTTGGGCTCAACTTTATGATTCAGGAGAGAACAAAGACCTCTGGGCCTTGCCTTATAAAGCAGGGAGGGAAGAATACCATGATCATTCAGAGATGCAAAGAGTCATGGACCTGAAACACTTCTGCCTTACCTCGTGGCCCTTACATCTCACCATTTCCTTTGTTTCCAGTGGTCTCTGCCAACATCACTTCTGACTGCTCCAAAGAATGAGGAGATGCTCAATGCCTTCAGCAAACTGGACACAGGCAAGCTGGGGTGAGTGCTGCTTTGACAAGGCAAGGGCTATTGAGTATGGGGAGTTTTCTTCCTGTCTCCCCAGACTGTGACAACTAAGTGAGCATTCTCTATCTGGGGGTTAGTAGGACTACCAGTGTGCAACCACAGTGTCCTCTCCCTGGTGGCCGCTGGTGGCAAAGCTGAACTGGAGCATGGACTCTACTAAGCTGTCACTTTTAGACGTACCTGTTTACTGTAGGGAGTTATTAGGCTCCTTACCCTCACCATGTTCACATTTGCACTTAAGCTGTAAGGCTTCAAGTAAATATAAGGTACTTAATGGATATTAATATATCCCTGTAATTATAGCCTGCACCATCATGATGGCATGAATTTCATGCCTCAGACTTGGAAGGCAAATGACAGGCCATGCAGTGTCTAAGCCACCTTTTCGGCTTGTTCCCTTCAGAAAGTGCAGCTCCTCCAGAAGAAAACTACTGCCCTCTGAAGAAGTGGACCACAGTCAACTTCAGGAAGACTTAAACCACCTTCTTTCCTGTCTCTTTCGCTTTCCCCAGGATGCCTACTCCCTCAAAGGACAACGAAGATACCAGCAAAGAATCCATCCTCTCCACACAGATGTTACCCACCATCAAGTACACTGGGAAGACTGTGAGACTTTCGACTCCCTCCTAGCTGCTATGAGCCCATGACTGGCTGCCAGCACATGGCCTGCCCAGGAGCACCAGCATCAGCTACCTCATGGGAACCACCTGCTGACCAGCCTGCATCCCTGCCCCCTTTCCTCTGCCCTCATCAGAGTATTTTTGAAGTGGTTGTATTGCAGAGATGGGCATTTGGAGGGGTGGAGGGGTGGGGGTGGGGGAGCAGGTAAAGAAGGCTCTCTTTGTCACCTGCTGCCTGGCTGTGCACCTCAAATCTCAGTAGAGAAGCTAGTGATGGCCAAGCAGCCTTATAAAGCAGGATTTGGTTTCTACCTTCACAGATCCACGTGTGTTTGTTTTAGGCCTTGATACAGTGGTTGAATTACAGCTCAAGAGATAAAAAACATGCTGGACATGTATGTTCTGAGGAGGTTCCTGTGAAGGTCCTCGTTTTCTCAGGTGGCCCCTCCCTGGCTGCCTACCTCTTCCTGAGGAGCCACTTTCAAATCTTTAGGTGTCCTCAGTTGATAGGCAAAAAAGAACGTACTCAACCCACTTCCTGGCCACTTAGTCTTGGGGGCTTGTGTCCTCTACACCATTTCTGTTCTCATACACTCCCCCAGCCAGTAGCCCTTGGTCTTGCTGTTCTTCTGGCCTCCTTGTGCACTCTTCCAGCCTTCTCTTAAATCTGTCCAACTGGGCCTTCTGTAAGAAGTTCTGTGAACTTGGTGAATTTCTTATGACTCCAGTGGAAGAGCCCAGGGATCCCTGTTGCTGTGATGTCCAAGGCGATCAGGCAGCAGCTGTGGCTTCCCCTCAACACAGGAAATCTCACATTCTGTTTTATAGCTGGCAGGTGCATTCTAGGACAGTGACTTGTAATATGAGCTTTCAGTCAGATCTCTGACCACGCTCATACTCATGTAAGTAAATATAAGTGTTGAATGAGGTTGACCAAGAAAACTTTGCATACAGAGACCTTCAAGGGCAAGAGCACCTAAACCGTGCACTCTGCTTCTCCTCCTTGAGGGCAGGTGGGAGCCAGGGAGAAGCACACAGTGTGGGAACTTGGATCAGAGTGGCTGATTCCACCTGCACTGTGCTCTTTCCTCACCTAGCACTTCCTAGTGGCTGCTTGCCTCCTCCCCAGTTCCTGCTGTCCCTTTGGTTAGTTTTTCTGGTAGTACACATACAAGAAGTCACTTGGTTCTACATCTCATATGTTTGTTTTCCACATTAGGCAGGAAGCTCAGCTGCAGTGCCCCCCTGCCCCATCTCTAGGTATTCTTGTTCTTATGGGTTGCAGAAAGCTAGACTCCCTTGAATTGTAGCTTCTGGGGCTCTATGATGAGTGGGAGAATCCTGACCAGGTTCAAGGCCAGAGTAGGTGAATATGCTGCCCAGTCCTAAGGCCATGTTGACAGTGGTGAAGAAAGGTTGGTGGCAAAGTCCTGGGCATCAAAGTTGGGCCATAGTAGGAAAGGACTTTCACATTCCTGGTAAATCTGTTTTGATATCATCAAAGGGAGTTCCCTCTTGTCCTTCCTGGATGCAGCAATCTACTGCAGGTGGTTAAGGAAGGAAGCAGCCTCCCTAAGAATCCTCACCTTGCCCAGGAGCCTGATTGCAGCTGGTCCTCTGGTGCAAGGCCTAGCTGAGTGAATTTACTTCTTGGAAACCAGCTTCAGTTCTTTGACCTAACTTTTCAGGATACTGAACAACACAGCCAATCCACTTCTATCCCTGTAACTGGAGAGGAACTGGCATTGCAGTGTTGGGGATGGGAGCCAAGAGAGAACTTAGGAAATGAGTGATGAAAATACAGTGCTCTTAGTTTAAAAATGTCTATACATACACCTTTTTCTGTTTTGGTGGTGCTGGAGATTTAACCAAGGGTCTTGGCACTGAACCCCAACTCTTATTTCTTATCTTGACACAGGTCTTACTAAGTTGTCTAGGCTGGTTTTGAACTTTTTGCCTTTCTCCAGTTTTCTAGTGCTAGAATTACAAGCATATGCCACCACACCTGGCTGTATATACTGTTTTTAAGTTTCATCATGTTTCAGTATCCAGTAGTGTGTATGCTGAGTAGGAAAAAGGAATGGGGCTTACCTAAAACAGTTACCTTTCACTCTTAAGAGAAAGTTACCTTATCAAGCATTTCACACATATACTTCTGCACTGAGTCTGTACAATGTACAGTATTCAGCTAAACAAGGAATTTGGGGGGGTGGGCAGGATCTTGCTGTATAGTTCAGACTGACCTGAAGCACTATGTAGCCCAGGCTGGTCTCGAACTCAGCAGTCCTATCTCAGGCTTCTCAGTGCTTGGATTATAGGTGTTTGCCACCACACCCAGCTAAACATTTTGAGAACTAAGATTTTATTTTTTTTATTGAAAGTTTAAATTTGGGAATATAATAGAATAATATTTTTAAGCATATATGAGTTATATTCATTCCTAAGTTGCTATCCAGGCACTGTTTGGAAGAAAGGAAGCGAGTCCTGAGGCAAGGAATGGGTTGCAGGTTATTTCTGAAGAAGCAGAGTCAGGATCTGGGAAAGTGAACAAAGGGTAGACAATGTTCTTTTTGATCAGAAACTAGGTTTCTGAGAATGGGCCTCAGAGGTGACCTTGGGGTGTGTGTGTGTGTGTGTGTGTGTCTGTCTGTCTGTCTGTCTGTCTGTCTGTCTGTCTCTCAGTCTCTCATGTTTTGTGTTGAGACAGGATCTCACTGTGCTCCAAAATGGCCTCAAATTTACTATCCAAGATAGTCTTAAGCTCATGATCCTCCTGTGTCCGGCTGTAGTGCTGAGATCACAGCTGTGTACCACCAAGCCCTGCTCTACTTGCTTATAATAGGAATACAGTAACTACATGCATTATGGGATTATGAACAACATTTAAGCCAAACATGAAAGCAGTTAGGGACAGAGGTTTTTCCTTTTTCAACTTGTACTCTCTACCCTGTTCTGGGAAAGAAGTATAAAATTCTTCCTTTGAAGGAAGCTGAGCAGCTGCAGAGGTATTTTAGAGATGGAGAGGCCAGAACAGAGTCCAGATATGTCTTCATACCCACCTTAGCCCAATACACACAGCAAAATGATATTCATTACACTTTTGTTATTATGAGGGGATTTACGGCTTTGGTTAAATACTTCACAGAATGTTGATTCTCTGGACAAGAGAGTACATTAAGAGTGTACTCTTATGGATGTGAGTTAAGAATTTGATTTCCTTTTATTGAGAAAAGGAGAGCAAGGGAGTGGCTGGTATCTGGAAAGGGAAAAAGCATGCTTCAGAAGACAGACCTTGCATGGAGCAGATGCCAAGGGACTGATGCATGGGGCTAGGAGCTGTGCCAGAGGATAGTTGTCATTACAGGTATATTCTCCTGGGGTCAGTCCATTTGGTTGAGAGTAATTTGCTTCCCATTCCTTAGCCAAAGGACATACCTGATGGCCCTGGGGCAGCCCAGCACTCATGAGTGCCAGTGAGGTAGGTTGATCGTTGGGGTACAGAGACCTTCCCAACTTCTTCAGTTGAATTAGCCAACATAAAGTCACCAAAGGCAGCTGGCAGATCGCTCTTCTTAGATTCTTGTCCTTTAATTCTTCCCCTCTGACTACTGTTCCAGTGCCCTGATGGCTTTGGGACTTGGAAATATTGGTGGTTCTTTGAGATGTGTGGCAGAGAGAGCTCCATATGTCTCTTGAGATTCTGACTTGGCCTCTCTCAGCCCTGTAGATCCCCTTTGTAGCTGAGTTTGCACACACTTCAGTATCCGGGTATCTCTACCAGCTCCACTGACTAGTTCTTCAGCAGCTTTGGATTAGTGAAGCTGTTGATTGTAGGAGATTTCTCACTTAGGTAAAAAAAACATCAGGAAGCTCATATTAGGGTGATGGTTTCCTAAAGAAACCATGTGTGCCTTATTTACTGGGATAGTCTGAGAAACAATGCCAGGAAAAGCCAGTAAAATTTTGAAAGTTAATCTTCCTAAGTTCCAGATAGTAAACTGAGTTACCAAAGCTCACCTCATAAGAGGTTAAGGGGTTAAATTTCAGAGTAAAGATTAAATTGAGTGTTAATTATTAAGAAAATGCCTCACACAATTGGATACAGATTTAAAATAATTTCTAAGGCCAGCAACTACTAGCATAAAGGTTGCTTCCTTAAATAGCATAGCATGTAATAGAATTCTGGCAGCATGTTACTCTTACAAAGCTATGGCAAACACAGAGTGGGCCCTCTGAATCTAGATTCCATGTCCACGAATTCCAGAAGCTGTACGTTGAAATGTACTTAGGCCTGTGATGGTTGTGTCTGTATTGATCATGAATACACTTGTCTCATCATTGTTACCTAAACAGTATGACAACTAACTACAAAGATTCTACCCTGTATTAGGAAGTATTACAATCATTTAGATGTGTGTGGGTTATGTAATGGACTGGGTTTGGCTATCTGGGCATCCTGAAGCTCAACCCTATCCCCACAGCTACCAAGGGACAGCTGTGTTTGAACCTATCCATGGGAGATTACAGTTGATTTCATCAAGATGGTTAACACAGAAAGATTAAAACCTTTATCATTAGTTGTCACAGAAGTGCAGTGAAAACTATGAGATACTACTGGACACTAAAATGACAAAAAAGACTTGAGAATATCAAATAATGGTACACCAAATATCAGCTGAATAACTGGAACTCATGGCTGGTGTGAATACAAAGGTGGTACCTTGGAGAAATTAGGCAGACCCTGTGGCCATACATCCTAGCACTTGCAATTCTGTGAGCAAAAGCTTATAGCAGCTTTATTCATAGTAACAACACTTGGAAACATCTCATCCAGCAGTCCATTCATGGGATGCTAGTTAGGAAATAAAGTGAATAAGCTGATTTATGGAACAACATGACTGATCTCAAGAGCACTTTACTAAGTAAAAGAAGCCAGAAACAATATATGCTTTCTGATTCCATAACACTAACAAAGGCAAACTATCATCACAGAAGATAGGTCAGAAGTTGCCAGGTACTAGAGATGAGGGAGGAATTGCTTATAATTGGAACACTTTTTAAATGTTGGTCTAGGCTGTGCTTACATGACTAAAGTTGTTGAGGCTCATCAGAATGTACACTGGAAATGCATGTGTATCATATACAAATGAATGCAGCTCCCTTTGCCCACCCCTACCCGGTGCTGGAGACTGAACCCAGGGCCTCATGTGTGCTGATGAAGCACACTTCTGATCATTTATACCCCTAGCCCAAAGATGATGTTTTAAAAAGCTTAAGAAAGAAGAAAAAAAAAAAGCAAGAAATTATTTCA